TGTTGTTGTTGTTGTTGTTGTTGTTGTTGTTGTTGTTGTTTTGTGTCGTCGTCCCACCCGCAACCCGCGCCCCGCGACCCACCCGCGACCCACCCGCGACCCACCCCGCGACCCACCCGCGACCCACCCCGCGACCCACCCCGCGACCCACCCCGCGACCACCCCGCGACCCGCGACCCGCGGCCCACCCCGCGACCCACCCGCGACCCACCCGCGACCCACCCGCGACCCACCCGCGACCCACCCCGCGACCCACCCGCGACCCACCTTCGACCCAAACCACGTTCAAGGTACAAACCACATTTTCGGCGCCTGCGGCGGGCTTTTTTGCATTCCTTCCAGGTGGAGAGCCCGCGACCAACTCGCGACCAACCCGCGACCCAAACCACGTTCAGGGTACAAACTACATTTTTCGGTCCCTGTGGCGGGCATCGTCTGCATTCGTTTCACATGGAGAGCCCGCGGCCCACCCGCGACCACGTTCAGGGTACACACAATTTGTTTCGGCGCCTGCGGCGGGCATCTTTTGCATTCGTTCCCGGTGGAGAACCCGCGCCCCACCCGCGACCCAAACCACGTTCAGTGTACAAACCAAATTGTTCGGCGCCTGCGGCGGGCTGCTTTTGCATTCCTTCCAGGTGGAGGTGGAGAACCCGCGACCCACCCGCGACCCAAACCACGTTCACTGAACAAACCAATGCCGCACAAGCGCAGCGGCGGATGACGGGAAGCGCCTCCGGCGTGCACCGTTGGTTCTGGGGCTTCGTTTTCTCTAACTAAGGGCCACCGATCCCATCCCGGACCTCGCTGGCGGATGACGGGAAGCGTCTTCGAGGTACGAGAAGCAAGCGGGACGTTCTGGCTGAATCCTTGAGTAAATATATATATATATATATATATATATCTTTAACTATATGGGTTGCCGCGCTGCACGGGATTTTTCGTTGGCGGATGACGGGAAGCGTCTTCGAGGTACGAGAAGCAAGCGGGACGTTCTGGCTGAATCCTTGAGTATATATATATATATATATATCTTTAATATATGGGTTTGCGGGATTGCACGGGAGTTGACGGGAAGCGTCTTCGAGGTACGAGAAGCAAGCGGGACGTTCTGGCTGAATCCGTGAGTATATATATATAATATATATAATATATAATACATATATTATATATATATATATATAATATATATATATATATTATCTTATTTCTATGGGTTGCGGAATCGCACGGGATTTTTCGTTGGCGGATTCCCCAAAATGGCCATTTCGCTCGAGACATCCTCGAAAAATCGAGGTGTTGGAGGCTATCGTTTAAGACGTCTTATGTTAAAAATGACGGTTTCGCTCGAGACATCCTCAAAAAATCGGGATGTTGAAAAATATCAAAAATTTTTGTTATGCATGAAAAATGAGCGTTTCGCTCGAGACATCCTCGAAAAAATGAGATGCCGACAGAGGTGTTTTAGAACCTCTTATGTTAAAAATGACGTTTTCGCTCGGGACGTCCTCAGAAAATGAGCAGGTGGTCTGCCGTGCTCCTGTGTGGAGCACGGCAGACCACGGCCATTTCGCTCGAGACATCCTCAAAAAATCGAGGTGTGGTCTGCCGTGCTTCTCTGTGGTCTGCTGTGCTCCTGTGGTCTGCCGTGCTCCTTTTTGTTATGATGAAAAATGAGCGTTTCGCTCGAGACATCCTCGAAAAAATGAGATGCCGACAGAGGTGTTTTACAACCTCTTATGTTAAAAATGACGTTTTCGCTCGGGACGTCCTCAGAAAATGAGCAGGAGCACGGCAGGCGGAAAAAAAGGAGCACGGCAGACCACACAGGAGCACGGCAGACTCCACAGGAGCACGGCAGACCACAAAGGGAACACGGCAGACCACACAGGAGCCCGGCAGACCCCACACGAATACGGCAGACCCCAAAGGAGCACGGCAGACCACACAGGAGCACGGAAGACCACACAAGAGCACGGCAGACCCAACAGGAACACGGCAGACCCAAAACGAGCACGGCAGAGCCGACAGGAGCACGGCAAACCCCGCAAGAGCACGGCAGACCGCACAGGAGCACGGCAGACCACACAGGATCACGGCAAACCCCACAGGAGCACGGCAGTCCACACAGGAGCACGGCAGTGGTGTTGCTGGTTTGGTCCCCTCGGGATACCGCATTGACGTGTTGCTGGTTTGCCCCCCCCAGGATACCTTCTTGACGTGTTGCTGGTTTGTCCCCTCAGCACCTTCTTGACGTGTTGCTGGTTTGCCCCCTCAGGATGACTTCTTGGCGAGTGGCTGGTTTTGCCTCAGGGTAACTTATTGAAGTGTTGGTGGTCGACCACCTCAGCACCTTCTTGGCGTGTTGCTCGTTTGCCCCCCTCAGGATAACCTTTGACGTGTTGCTGGTTTGCCCCGTCAGGATAATTCTTCACGTGTTGCTGGTTTGCCCCCACAGGAGCACGGCAGACCACACAGGAGCACGGCAGACCCCACACGAGCACGGCAGACCAAAGAGACGACACAAGGAGCACAGCAGATCCCGCAGGAGCAGGGCAGACACCACACGAGCACGGCAGATCCCAAATGAGCACGGCAGACACAGAAGCACTGCAGACCACACAAGAGCACCGCAGACCTCACAGGAGCACGGCAGACCCCACAGGAGCACGGCAGACCCCACAGGAGCACGGCAAACCACAAAGGAGCACGGCAGACCACAGAAGCACGGCAAACCACACAGGAGCACGGCAGACCACACAGGAGCACGGCAATCCCCACAGGAGCACGGCAGACCGCGCGCAGGTACAACATAAACGCGCCTTTTGTTGTACCCCGAACGCCGCTGGCGTTTCCCCCACAGGAGCACGGCAGACCACACAAGCTGGCGGGAAACCCCAAATGAACACGGCAGACCACAGGAGCACGGCAGACCACACAGGAGCACGGCAGACGCCACAGGAGCACGGCAGACCGCGCAGGAGCACGGCAGACCACACATGAGCACGGCAGACCCCACAGGAACACGGCAGACCCCATAGGAGCACGGCAGACCACAGAAGAGCACGGCAGACCAACAGGAGCACGGCAGACCACACAAGAGCACGGCAGGCCACACAGGAGCACGGCAGACCACACAGAAGCACGGCAGACCACACCTCGAGCACGGCAGACCACATAAGAGCACGGCAGACCACACAAGAGCACGGCAGACCCCACAGGAGCACGGCAGACCCCACAGGAGCACGGCAGAGCAGACCCAAAAGGAGCACGGCAGACCACACAGGAGCAAGGCAAACCACAGGAGCACGGCAGACCACACAGGAGCACGGCAGACCCCACAGTAGCAAGGCAGACCCCAAAGGAGCACGGCAGACCACCGGAGCAAGGCAGACCACACAGGAGTACGGCAGACCCCACATGAGCACGGCAAATCCCAAATGAGCACGGCAGACCACAAGAGCACGGCAGACCACACAGGAGCACGGCAGACTCCACAGGAGCACGGCAGACCACAAAGGAGCACGGCAGACCACACAGGAGCCCGGCAGACGCCACAGGAGCACGGCAGACGCCACAGGAGCACGGCGGAACCCACAGGAGCACGGCAGACCGCGCGCGGGTACAACATAAACGCGCCTTTTTGTTGTACCCCGAACGCCGCTGGCGTTTCCCCAACAGGAGCACGGCAGATCTCACAGGCGCGCGGCAGACCCAAATGAGCACGGCCGACCACAGGAGCACGGCAGACCCCAAATGAGTACGGCAGACCCCAAAAGAGCACCGTAGACGCCTCAGGAGCACGGCTGACCACACAGGAGCACGGCAGACCACACAGGAAGACCAGGCACCAAGAGCGCCCTCAAGACGACGGAAAGGATGACCAAGACGAGGAGCACCGCAGACTATGCACTAAGAGTGCCCTCAAGACGGCCGAACAACGGCAGACCCCATAGGAACACGGCACCTGTGGTCTGCCGTGCTCCCCACAGGAGCACGGCAGACCGCGCGTAGGAACCGAGAGGAGCACGGCAGACCAAGACGAGGAGCACGGCAGACCAGGCTTAGGAACCGAGAGGAGCACGGCAGACCAAGACGAGGAGCACGGCAGACCAGGCACCAAGAGCGCCCTCAAGACGACGGAAAGGATGACCAAGACGAGGAGCACGGCAGACCAAGACGAGGAGCACGGCAGACTATGCCCTAAGAGTGCCCTCAAGACGGCCGAACAACGGCAGACCCCATAGGAGCACGGCAGACCACAGAAGAGCACGGCAGACCAACAGGAGCACGGCAGACCACACAAGAGCACGGCAGGCCACACAGGAGCACGGCAGACCACACAGGAGCACGGCAGACCACAAAGGAGCACGGCAGACCACACAAGAGCACGGCAGACCCCACAAGAGCACGGCAGACCCCACAGGAGCACGGCAGACCCCACAGGAGCACGGCAGAGCAGACCCAAAAGGAGCACGGCAGACCACACAGGAGCAAGGCAAACCACAGGAGCACGGCAGACCACACAGGAGCACGGCAGACCCCACAGTAGCAAGGCAGACCCCAAAGGAGCACGGCAGACCACCGGAGCACGGCAGACCACACAGGAGTACGGCAGACCCCACATGAGCACGGCAAATCCCAAATGAGCACGGCAGACCACAAGAGCACGGCAGACCACACAGGAGCACGGCAGACTCCACAGGAGCACGGCAGACCACAAAGGAGCACGGCAGACCACACAGGAGCCCGGCAGACGCCACACGTTCGCACGGCAGACCGCACAGGAGCACGGCAGACCCCACATGAGCACGGCAGACCAAGAAGGAGCACGGCAGACCACACAGGAGCACGGCAGACCACACAGGAGCACGGCAGACCACACAACACGGCAGACCCCACGGGAGCACGGCAGACCACACAGGAGCACGGCAAACCACACAAGAGCACGGCAGACCATACAGGAGCACGCCAGACCACACAGGAGCACGGGTCCGTAGCCATTTTGGCTCAAGCCAGCCCCGCGCGGTTTCTTGGGTCTGCCTCTGGCGATAGCCAAACGGCGGGCCCTTCGCTCGGGCGCAGCCATGGCGACGGGAGGGTGTGGAGTTGCACGCCCATTTCGCCGCAGCCCCGAGGACCGCAAGGCAGGGAAGCTGTGGGCTAGGCAGTCTGCCGATCGTGCGATCATCAAGCTCTCCGACGAGCTCAGGCGGGTGCAGGCGGACTTCGAGGCGATCATTTGCGGCCTCACCACCATCTTCGGGTGCGCGGAGCTGGCCGATCGCATCGTCGCGCTGGCGCCGGCCTTGGGGGAGAAGCTAGCAGGGCGCGTGCCGTCTGCGGCGCTAGCTGTGAGAAGGAACGTTGCCCTGCATTCCGACGCTCGCGGTGTACGAGTGTCGACTGCGCCGATCGAGCAGTTGCGGCGCCTGCAGAAATATGGGGCCAGGCTGGAGGCCCGTGCGGAGGCAGAGAGCTTCACGTTCAACGCGGACGCTGCGGAGTTCTTCCGTTGTGGCCCGCTCGGCACGTGTTTGGAATGTTTGCCGCTGCCTGGTGTGCTTGGCTATTCGGAGTCGGGGTTGTTCGAGGCCGTCGAGGGCACCTCCGTGGCTTGCGCTGGTGACGGCGGCGGTGAGCATGATGTCGGCCCTGCTGGTGACGTGCCGTCTAAGGTGATCACCCCCGAGTTTTTCGCAGCTGGTCGCAAGTCGTCTTCTACTTCGGCGCCATCGCTGGGCCTCTGTCCTGTCGAAGGGCTGCGCCAGGGAGGTGGGGTTCCTGTTCGTGCTGTTCTTCCTGGGGAGCCGCTTCGTGCTGATTGTCTTCCGGATCTGCTGGCCGGCCCAGGACCTGCGGCGGAGGGGGGCTGTTGCAGCACCTTGGACGAGCTCCTGGAGGCAGAGGTGTTGAAGTATGAGGCGCTGGAGGCCGCACGTGCTTCGCCTGGGGCCCTGGGGGCCGGCTCGGCCGAGTTCGACTTCCAGGAGGTGGGTGCTGCCGACGCTGAAGCTGAAGTGGATACGGCCTGCTCGGTGTCGGAGGCGGCGCCACAGGCCAGCACTGCGGTTCTGGCGTACCTGCACGCTCACCCTGCGGCGCTCCTCTCGGGTGGCGGCGGGGCCCTCGAGGCTCCTGTGGCTGGCGGCACTGGTCCTGGCGCTGGTTTCGAGGGCAGCCGCGCCCGCAGGAAGCGAGGTGCAAGCATGGGGCGGCGCGCCCGTCGCGTCCGCTTCGACCTTCGCCCCGTCGTCATCGGCACGGCCTTCGAGGAAGATGCCGAGGCCCAGGACGGTTAGCCTTGCGTGCGGACGCTAATTCCGTTTGCTCCGTGCATTCGCATTTCCTGTATTTGAATGTGCACGTGAGCTCTTCGCTGCAGCTTCGCTGCTTCTGCTTGCCTCTCGGCACTGCCCGCCCTCGTGGCCCTGGGGCCTAGGCGCCCCCGTTGGCCCTGGCGGCCTGCCCTCGGGGAGGCCCGAAGCGGCCCCTCGTGAGGGTGTCTGGCCCTTGAGGCCCTGGGGCCAATGGGCTCCGTGGGCCTCGGGCTTCTTTTAGCCTTCATAGGCCCCGCACGACACGACACACAGGAGCACGGTCCGTAGCCATTTTGGCTCAAGCCAGCCCCGCGCGGTTTCTTGGGTCTGCCTCTGGCGATAGCCAAACGGCGGGCCCTTCGCTCGGGCGCAGCCATGGCGACGGGAGGGCGTGGAGTTGCACGCCCATTTCGCCGCAGCCCCGAGGACCGCAAGGCAGGGAAGCTGTGGGCTAGGCAGTCTGCCGATCGTGCGATCATCAAGCTCTCCGACGAGCTCAGGCGGGTGCAGGCGGACTTCGAGGCGATCATTTGCGGCCTCACCACCATCTTCGGGTGCGCGGAGCTGGCCGATCGCATCGTCGCGCTGGCGCCGGCCGTGGGGGAGAAGCTAGCAGGGCGCATGCCGTCTGCGGCGCAAGCTGTGAGAAGGAACGTTGCCCTGCATTCGACGCTCGCGGTACGGGTGTCGACTGCGCGATCGTGCAGGTTGCGGCGCTTCAGAAATATGGGCCGGTGGAGGCTGTTGCGGAGGGCAGAGCAGAGAGCTTCACGTTCAACGCGGACGCTTTGGAGTTCTTCCCTTGTGGCCCGCTCGGCACGTGTTGGGAATGTTTGCCGCTGCCTGGTGTGCTTGGCTATTCGGAGTCGGGGTTGATCGAGGCCGTCGAGGGCACCTCCTTGGGCTGCGCTGGCGACGGCGGCGGGGAGCATGATGTCGGCCCTGCTTGCGACGTGCCGTCTAAGGTGATCACCCCCGAGTTTTTCGCAGCTGGTCGCAAGTCGTCTTCTACTTCGGCGCCATCGCTGGGCCTCTGTCCTGTCGAAGGGCTGCGCCAGGGAGGTGGGGTTCCTGTTCGTGCTGTTCTTCCTGGGGAGCCGCTTCGTGCTGATTGTCTTCCGGATCTGCTGGCCGGCCCAGGACCTGCGGCGGAGGGGGGCTGTTGCAGCACCTTGGACGAGCTCCTGGAGGCAGAGGTGTTGAAGTATGAGGCGCTGGAGGCTGCACGTGCTTCGCCTGGGGCCCTGGGGGCCGGCTCGGCCGAGTTCGACTTCCAGGAGGTGGGTGCTGCCGACGCTGAAGCTGAAGTGGATGCGGCCTGCTCGGTGTCGGAGGCGGCGCCACAGGCCAGCACTGCGGTTCTGGCGTACCTGCACGCTCACCCTGCGGCGCTCCTCTCGGGTGGCGGCGGGGCCCTCGAGGCTCCTGTGGCTGGCGGCACTGGTCCTGGCGCTGGTTTCGAGGGCAGCCGCGCCCGCAGGAAGCGAGGTGCAAGCATGGGGCGGCGCGCCCGTCGCGTCCGCTTCGACCTTCGCCCCGTCGTCATCGGCACGGCCTTCGAGGAAGATGCCGAGGCCCAGGACGGTTAGCCTTGCGTGCGGACGCTAATTCCGTTTGCTCCGTGCATTCGCATTTCCTGTATTTGAATGTGCACGTGAGCTCTTCGCTGCAGCTTCGCTGCTTCTGCTTGCCTCTCGGCACTGCCCGCCCTCGTGGCCCTGGGGCCTAGGCGCCCCCGTTGGCCCTGGCGGCCTGCCCTCGGGGAGGCCCGAAGCGGCCCCTCGTGAGGGTGTCTGGCCCTTGAGGCCCTGGGGCCAATGGGCTCCGTGGGCCTCGGGCTTCTTTTAGCCTTCATAGGCCCCGCACGACACGACACACAGGAGCACGGTCCGTAGCCATTTTGGCTCAAGCCAGCCCCGCGCGGTTTCTTGGGTCTGCCTCTGGCGATAGCCAAACGGCGGGCCCTTCGCTCGGGCGCAGCCATGGCGACGGGAGGGCGTGGAGTTGCACGCCCATTTCGCCGCAGCCCCGAGGACCGCAAGGCAGGGAAGCTGTGGGCTAGGCAGTCTGCCGATCGTGCGATCATCAAGCTCTCCGACGAGCTCAGGCGGGTGCAGGCGGACTTCGAGGCGATCATTTGCGGCCTCACCACCATCTTCGGGTGCGCGGAGCTGGCCGATCGCATCGTCGCGCTGGCGCCGGCCTTGGGGGAGAAGCTAGCAGGGCGCGTGCCGTCTGCGGCGCTAGCTGTGAGAAGGAACGTTGCCCTGCATTCCGACGCTCGCGGTGTACGAGTGTCGACTGCGCCGATCGAGCAGTTGCGGCGCCTGCAGAAATATGGGGCCAGGCTGGAGGCCCGTGCGGAGGCAGAGAGCTTCACGTTCAACGCGGACGCTGCGGAGTTCTTCCGTTGTGGCCCGCTCGGCACGTGTTTGGAATGTTTGCCGCTGCCTGGTGTGCTTGGCTATTCGGAGTCGGGGTTGTTCGAGGCCGTCGAGGGCACCTCCGTGGCTTGCGCTGGTGACGGCGGCGGTGAGCATGATGTCGGCCCTGCTGGTGACGTGCCGTCTAAGGTGATCACCCCCGAGTTTTCGCAGCTGGTCGCAAGTCGTCTTCTACTTCGGCGCCATCGCTGGGCCTCTGTCCTGTCGAAGGGCTGCGCCAGGGAGGTGGGGTTCCAGTTCGTGCTGTTCTTCCTGGGGAGCCGCTTCGTGCTGATAGTCTTCCGGATCTGCTGGCTGGCCCAGGACCTGCGGCGGAGGGGGGCTGTTGCAGCACCTTGGACGAGATCCTGGAGGCAGAGGTGTTGAAGTATGAGGCGCTGGAGGCCGCACGTGCTTCGCCTAGGGCCCTGGGGGCCGGCTCGGCCGAGTTCGACTACCAGGAGGTGGGCGCTGCCGACGCTGAAGCTGAAGTGGATGCGGCCTGCTCGGTGTCGGAGGCGGCGCCACAGGCCAGCACTGCGGTTCTGGCGTACCTGCACGCTCACCCTGCGGCGCTCCTCTCGGGTGGCGGCGGGGCCCTCGAGGCTCCTGTGGCTGGCGGTACTGGTCCTGGCGCTGGTTTCGAGGGCAGCCGCGCCCGCAGGAAGCGAGGTGCAAGCATGGGGCGGCGCGCCCGTCGCGTCCGCTTCGACCTTCGCCCCGTCGTCATCGGCACGGCCTTCGAGGAAGATGCCGAGGCCCAGGACGGTTAGCCTTGCGTGCGGACGCTAATTCCGTTTGCTCCGTGCATTCGCATTTCCTGTATTTGAATGTGCACGTGAGCTCTTCGCTGCAGCTTCGCTGCTTCTGCTTGCCTCTCGGCACTGCCCGCCCTCGTGGCCCTGGGGCCTAGGCGCCCCCGTTGGCCCTGGCGGCCTGCCCTCGGGGAGGCCCGAAGCGGCCCCTCGTGAGGGTGTCTGGCCCTTGAGGCCCTGGGGCCAATGGGCTCCGTGGGCCTCGGGCTTCTTGTAGCCTTCATAGGCCCCGCACGACACGACGCACAGGAGCACGGCAGACCACACGTTCGCACGGCAAACTCCACAGGAGCACGGCAGACCACAAAGAAGCACGGCAGTGGTACGTGGCACTGCTGTGGTATGCCGTACTAAAAACGTGGAATATCTCATAAGCCCAGGGGACAAAAGGACGCTTCCCGTTCTTGTCCGGTCAGGTTCCCCAAAATGGCCATTTCGCTCGAGACATCCTCGAAAAATCGAGGTGTTGGAGGCTATCGTTTAAGACGTCTTATGTTAAAAATGACGGTTTCGCTCGAGACATCCTCAAAAAATCGGGATGTTGAAAAATATCAAACAATTTTTTTATGCATGAAAAATGAGCGTGTCGCTCGAGACATCCTCGAAAAAATGAGATGCCGACAGAGGTGTTTAGAACCTCTTATGTTAAAAATGACGTTTTCGCTCGGGACGTCCTCAGAAAATGAGCAGGTGGTCTGCCGTGCTCCTGTGTGGAGCACGGCAGACCACGGCCATTTCGCTCGAGACATCCTCAAAAAATCGAGGTGTGGTCTGCCGTGCTCCTGTGTGGTCTGCCGTGCTCCTGTGGTCTGCCGTGCTCCCCACAGGAGCACGGCACACTGCGCGTAGGAACCGAGAGGAGCACGGCAGACCAAGACGAGGAGCACGGCAGACCAGGCTTAGGAACCGAGAGGAGCACGGCAGACCAAGACGAGGAGCACGGCAGACCAGGCACCAAGAGCGCCCTCAAGACGACGGAAAGGATGACCAAGACGAGGAGCACGGCAGACCAAGACTAGGAGCACGGCAGACTATGCCCTAAGAGTGCCCTCAAGACGGCCGAACAACGGCAGACCCCATAGGAGCACGGCAGACCACAGAAGAGCACGGCAGACCAACAGGAGCACGGCAGACCACACAAGAGCACGGCAGGCCACACAGGAGCACGGCAGACCACACAGGAGCACGGCAGACCACAAAGGAGCACGGCAGACCACACAAGAGCACGGCAGACCCCACAAGAGCACGGCAGACCCCACAGGAGCACGGCAGACCCCACAGGAGCACGGCAGAGCAGACCCAAAAGGAGCACGGCAGACCACACAGGAGCAAGGCAAACCACAGGAGCACGGCAGACCACACAGGAGCACGGCAGACCCCACAGTAGCAAGGCAGACCCCAAAGGACCACGGCAGACCACCGGAGCACGGCAGACCACACAGGAGTACGGCAGACCCCACATGAGCACGGCAAATCCCAAATTAGCACGGCAGACCACAAGAGCACGGCAAACCACACAGGAGCACGGCAGACTCCACAGGAGCACGGCAGACCACACAGGAGTACGGCAGACCCCACATGAGCACGGCAAATCCCAAATGAGCACGGCAGACCACAAGAGCACGGCAGACCACACAGGAGCACGGCAGACTCCACAGGAGCACGGCAGACCACAAAGGAGCACGGCAGACCACACAGGAGCCCGGCAGACGCCACAGGAGCACGGCAGACGCCACAGGAGCACGGCGGAACCCACAGGAGCACGGCAGACCGCGCGCGGGTACAACATAAACGCGCCTTTTTGTTGTACCCCGAACGCCGCTGGCGTTTCCCCAACAGGAGCACGGCAGATCTCACAGGCGCGCGGCAGACCCCAAATGAGCACGGCCGACCACAGGAGCACGGCAGACCCCAAATGAGTACTCCAAACCCCAAAAGAGCACCGTAGACGCCCAAATTCCGAGGCGGTGCCGAAAAAAGGCCACTCCAAGACATATTTTTCTTTCGAAAATATTGATTTTCTGCTCCCGGCGCCCGGGAACCCCTTCCGGGCCGCTTCGGGCACCCGGGCCGGCGCTCGAGCCAAACGCCCGGGCCAGCACCCGGGCCAGCGCCCGGGCCGGTTCCGGCGCCGGCCGGCGCCGGAAAATTGAATTCCGAGGCGGTGCCGAAAAAATGCCACTCCAAGACATATTTTTCTTTCGAAAATATTGATTTTCTGCTCCCGGCGCCCGGGAACCCCTTCCGGGCCGCTTCCGGCACCCGGGCCGGCACTCGAGCCGAACGCCTGGGCCAGCACCCGGGCCAGCGCCCGGGCCGGTTCCGGCGCCGGCCGGCGCCGGAAAATTGAATTCCGAGGCGGTGCGGGAAAAAGGCCACTCCAAGACATATTTTTCTTTCGAAAATATTGATTTTCTGCTCCCGGCGCCCTGAAACCCCTTCCGGGGGGCGATGGCCCCAAAGAGCTGAAACCGAGCTCCAACATGACCCCGAGAGCGCCCTGGAGTCGACCCCAAAATGGCGATTTCGCTTGAGACATCTTCACAAAACTAAAAATGTAGCAGCACCGAAGTTTGCAAAAACAAGCGTTTTGCCTGGGACATCCTCCCAAAATGCGAATGCAGCAGAACACACAGGTTCCTCGAAATTGCAATTTCGCCTGGGACATCCTCACAAAAGAAAATCTTAGCGACACCGCGTTCATCAAAAGTAAGCGCACGGCAGAACATACAGGACACACAGGAGCACGGCAGACCACACAGGAGCACGGCAGACCACAAAGGAGCACGGCAGACCACACAAGAGCACGGCAGACCCCACAAGAAGCACGGCAGACCCCACAGGGAGCACGGCAAGACCCCACAGGACACGGAGAGCAGACACCATGAAAAAGGAGCACGGCAGACCACACAGGAGCAAGGCAAACCACAGGAGCACGGCAGACCACACAGGAGCACAGCAGACCCCACAGTAGCAAGGCAGACCCCAAAGGAGCACGGCAGACCACCGGAGCACGGCAGACCACACAGGAGTACGGCAGACCCCACATGAGCACGTCAAATCCCAAATGAGCACGGCAGACCACAAGAGCACGGCAGACCACACAGGAGCACGGCAGACTCCACAGGAGCACGGCAGACCACAAAGGAGCACGGCAGACCACACAGGAACCCGGCAGACGCCACAGGAGCACGGCAGACGCCACAGGAGCACGGCGGAACCCACAGGAGGCACGGCAGACCGCGCGCAGGTACAACATAAACGCGCCTTTTGTTGTACCCCGAACGCCGCTGGCGTTTCCCCCACAGGAGCACGGCAGACCCCACAAGCTCGCGGGAAACCCCAAATGATCACGGCAGACCACAGGAGCACGGCAGACCCCCAAATGATACGGCAACCGCCAAAAAGAGCACCGTAGACCCCTCAGAGCACGCTGACCACACAGGACACGGCGCCTGGCCGTTCCGGCGCCGGCCGGCGCCGGAAAATTGAATTCCGAGGCGGTGCCGAAAAAAGGCCACTCCAAGACATATTTTTCTTTCGAAAATATTGATTTTCTGCTCCCGGCGCCCGGGAACCCCTTCCGGGCCGCTTTCGGCACCCGGCCGGCGCTCGAGCCAAACGCCCGGGCCAGCACCCGGGCCAGCGCCCGAGCCGGTTCCGGCGCCGGCCGGCGCCGGAAAATTGAATTCCGAGGCGGTGCCGAAAAAAAGGCCACTCCAAGACATATTTTTCTTTCGAAAATATTGATTTTCTGCTCCGGGCGCCCGGGAACCCCTTCCGGGCCGCTTCCGGCACCCGGGCCGGCGCTCGAGCCGAACGCCTGGGCCAGCACCCGGGCCAGCGCCCGGGCCGGTTCCGGCGCCGGCCGGCGCCGGAAAATTGAATTCCGAGGCGGTGCGGAAAAAAGGCCACTCCAAGACATATTTTCTTTCGAAAATATTGATTTTCTGCTCCCGGCGCCCTGGAACCCCTTCCGGGCCGATTCCGGCACCCAGGCCGGCGCTCGAACCGAACGCCCGGGCCGGCACCTGGGCTGGCGGCCGACGCGCGATGCGCTGCCACAAGCCAGCTTCCCGCAAGATCGGTCCAGAGTGGGAGGGGACGAAGCTGGGCGGGTGAAGGACCACCAGAGCACTGCTCCAGCCTTCCCTCAGCCCTGGGTCTGCTGACCACACAGGAGCACGGCAGACCACACAGGAGCGCGGCAAACCACAAAGGAGCAAGTCCGTAGCCATTTTAGGCTCAAGCAAGCCCGCGCGGTTTCTTGGGTCCTGCCTCTGCGATAACCAAACGGCGGGGCCCTTCGCAGTGGGCATGGCCATAGGCGACGGGAGGGGGCGGAGTTGCACGCCCATTTGATTTTCGCCGCAGCCCCGAGGACCGCAAGGAGGGAAAGCAGTGGGCTAGGCAGTCTGCCGATCGTGCGATCATGAAGGGCTCCGACGAGCTCAGGCGGGTGCAGGCGGACTTCGAGGCGATCATCGGTGGCCTCACCACCATCTTCGGGTGCGCGGAGCTGGCCGATCGCATCGTCGCGCTGGCGCCGGCCTTGGGGGAGAAGCTAGCAGGGCGCGTGCCGTCTGCGGCGCTAGCTGTGAGAAGGAACGTTGCCCTGCATTCCGACGCTCGCGGTGTACGGGTGTCGACTGCGCCGATCGAGCAGTTGCGGCGCCTGCAGAAATATGGGGCCAGGCTGGAGGCCCGTGCGGAGGCAGAGAGCTTCACGTTCAACGCGGACGCTGCGGAGTTCTTCCGTTGTGGCCCGCTCGGCACGTGTTTGGAATGTTTGCCGCTGCCTGGTGTGCTTGGCTATTCGGAGTCGGGGTTTTGCGCTGGTGACGGCGGCGGTGAGCATGATGTCGGCCCTGCTGGTGACGTGCCGTCTAAGGTGATCACCCCCGAGTTTTTCGCAGCTGGTCGCAATTTGGCTCAACTTGCGGCGCCATCGCGCGCCC